ATTGCATTGCATTTACAAGAATATATGAATGTTGCACATATGGCAACAGAGCTGTGTGTGTATCAGAATTTACTCACATTTCATAGAATTATTTTTCCTTACTCGCGACATTTCGCTGATAAACTTTAAGGATTTATTACAAACCCCATCAATTTAAGCTCATTTATGGTTAATTCCCCGAACGGCAGCGGTTCCATTTGTATTACAAGGGATTCACATTAACTGCGGCATTTTAATCAGGTATTAATATATTGTGCGCATAAATTCTGGCCTGGGCATCCCTGTCAACCAGTCAACTCTTTTCTTTATGCCTTATTGCCTGGTAATTCAATTACCAGCACAAACAATGCAATTTTAACAATACCCGAACTCGTTAAAAAAAAGTACTTTTTATACAATTATAATGCTCTTTTATGTTCCATTTTTTACTCTTTAACATGGAAACTTTTACAAGTGGCAATTGAATTGCATTTTTAGAAACTGTTGCGAGTTTGAAGTTGTTTGGCAAATTTGTTGCACGAGTATCACAAGTGCCTTTCAATGCCGATATAAAAGAGGACAATGTTTTCAGGGGCGGCCAATTGTTTGCCAATAAGTCCAACTGATGCTGGGCAGCGCATTTTGTAAGGTTTTCGATGAAGAAAATAATTCTGAGTACCAAGGGATATAAGGATAAAACGAGGAATGAACAGTGCAGGTATTTGTACCTTTCATAAGATATATTGGCTGCCTTTACTCCTCATTTTCTCCACAACACTTAAGATAAAAATGGTGAAATGGTAATTTTTCAGTAGTATTTTAATTTTGGGCTGGTAGTTTATTCCTGCGAATTCAAATCAAAGTAAAAAGTTTCTCAAACTATTGCATAATCTAAGCTTACATTTTGAAAGTCAGCTAATCCCATTATATCCCTCCAATAAAAAACAACAAAAGATATTCCAAATATTATTTTTATTAAAATATATAATAGGCTTTATTTGTTATTATAAAAATATGTTTTACATAACTTTTCGTTATTTCTGAAACTTCTAATATTTTGTATATTTCATAAAAATATATATATATATATAAAGTTTTTTATAACAATTAAATTAAATATATAGATTTATTTTTCAATTGCACCTTTAAAAATTAATTATAAATACAAATATATTAATAGAATATTCACTAACCTCTCAATTGGTTATATTACTTTAAGCTCACGTACAGCACACACGCACAACAAAGCTTTGACAGCCACACATTGTTTTGCTTTAAGGGGAATATGAAACTGTAAAAACATTTATTTTACCTTACCCACTCGTGTGTTTTTAATCCCAAGCTTATGAAGTTAGATGCATAATGAACTGAATTAATTATGAATTTTAGTCAAAAAAAAAACTGCAGATAAGCCGTAAAAGTTAAATTGCAAAATCTAAGCCAAAATATATTATCAGCAATCTGAGATTAGGCGACGCTTATAATAGCAAAGACGAAAAGCACAAGCCAGACTGACTTTAAGTAAACGTGTTTGAAGAACGAAAATACTTATACATATATTACCTTGTAGAAAATTGTCATTAGTCCATGCAAAAAAAGACTATTGAGTAAGCATCATTGAAGGTAATATCTGTAAGCTTGAGAAACCTTTTTTTCATTTTGATAACTGTGTGTTAAATATCGCCCCACTATGCGCCTAACAATGCGGTTCTCATGAATTCAAGGAAAAGTCGTCCAATAGTATACACCATATAGACATATTATATGAACGCTATTTATCATATAATAGGTGTTGATTGTTCAAATATCCAAGCTTTTCCAAAGGTACTTATTTAGTTGAACTTTTCTATAGTTCGTAGAATTTGTTACGCACTTTGTGGGCATCTTTCTATTTTTGCCATCAACATGATATATTTTTTTCTGAGTGCAGTAATTAGCTGATATCTGACCAAAAAACTGAGCACAGCAGTTGCCATTAAAACTTGAACAACAATATAAATATTATTGAACAGCAAAAGTACACAACATTTTTTGTGTCAACTCGACAGAAAATTATTGACCATTGCCATAGATAATAATACTCAAAAGAGCGACCACAACAAAAGTATACTGCCATTACAATAATAATAATAATAATAATACAAACGAACTATTGAGAGACATTTTTTTTTTGTGTTTCTGTTGAGCTCAGCGGAAAATTCAAAAATAATACAAACCAGGAAACGTTTTTGACCAGTGGGCGTGTGTGTGGGCATGGCCAATGTACTTTATGGAATGTAATTTATAGAGAAAGAGCATTTGAACTTTCGGGCAGCACTCGTTGATTTTTACGAGTCGTGCGATAAGAACTAACGAGCAAAGTTGCAAGTGAACTGGGCGCGTAATCGCCTCTAATGAAGAGTCCTGTAAGCGCTCCAACAATGGCTAACAAAATTTGTCATCACTCAGGTGGCAGCCAGTGTAAATACAGTCAACACCTTTCAGTCGACGCCAAAAACTTCAAAAGCATCATTAAAATGCGCTGTCAAAGGGGGCGGTTGTTTATGGTCGTGGCGATGGGCTAGTGGGGGAGTGGAACGAGCACTCACTTAAATTGAGCAGCCAAAAACTGGCAGGACACTTACCACTTGGCTGGCAGCCAACATAAATATGACATAAAATGTCCAAAAGGACTTTGCCAAGCAAATTAGTTTGTCAAAACTGAAGCAGCGTCGCCAAGCAGGAGCCAGGCGCGCGCAGGATGTCGGAAGGATACCTTTGTAAATTTTGCGCGTTATTTGCGCTATTTATGCAAAAGTTGGCAGCCATTGTTTGGGCCAATGATGAATTGTTGATAGCAAGGACTCTCGATGGACGCCATCAAGCAAAAAACAAAATATTAATCATACGCAGTGTGCTCCACGCACAAACTCATTAGAACAAAACTGTGAGCTAAGTGAAAAGTGGAAGAGCATTTAAGTGGCAGTCGAATCAGTGAAAACATTTTCAATTTACCCGAGCGAAATGTAATTTAAATACAAATTTTGCGACCAAGTGCCCTTAGGCGCCACTTGCGCATCATCAATTGGCATTTGGAAGAAGTAAGCGATTTCGAGGGACTAAGGCATTCACTCACTTTTGGCTTCAGCTATATGGCTTGGAAATTCAGTAGGCCAATATTGAGCTACAGCACTTCGTATGCAAATTTGTTTTAGCCCAAAATGTAATTTTCAATATGCGAGCCCCAGCCACAAGACCCAGTCCAGGCGCAAATCACATGCTTTGAACTTAGACGCCTTGGGCATTATTGCTTAACGATTATCGTCGCTTCATTGGCAATTGCTACAAATTACTTTTAATGGAAATGGAAATGGAATCCGTATTGAAAATGGAAATGCAAGTTTCAATAGGCGTCGTTTGACGAAATGAAATCGAATACAAATAAACAGACATAGGAGAAAAGCAGCATATTTCGAATGTATATCAAGTGGAAACAATTGTTAAATTCTATTGCTAAATTGAAAAGTATGTGCATGCGGCAAAAACAATTAAATAGAGCAATTGTGACTCAGAAAACAAGGAAAAAGCAAAAGAAATGAATTATTAATTTAAATAACGCTATCAAGGAAAAATGTTAATGCGAAAACATAAAGTTCCGGGAGTTCTAATTGCTAAGCTAAAAAAAAATCTAATAAAACTAAGTATTAAGAATCTCCAACCCAAAGCCAAATGACAACAGGCCTAATCGCTGTATGCTTAATTCATATAAGCTTTATTAACTTTTTCATTATTATTTTTATGTATCAATTTCAATTTCAGCTTTGTCACATTTTTTAGCAGAACGCATTCCGATCTACAAAAAATCGTAAGATTATACATGTGAAATTATTTCCCAGAAAATATATTTTCTATAATTTCACAGCTATATGAAACCTTCGATTGCAATGTAAGGTATTTTTGAGTATATGTTTAGGAAGAAACTTAATTATTTTCAAGCCAGGAAATAACTAGACAGTGCTCGACTTAGAGATACCCTGTTTCTAAAACTCAATATAGATATAAGATAAAACAACAAAATATTGCATGAGCTAAGTAGTGGAAAGTATTTTATTTTATTCAAAAAAATAATATATAAATATATATATATATATATATATATATATATATATATATATATATTATTCTAAAGTTACATATTTAATTAAATGCAAGCTAATCACTCTTAGGTACTTTGTTAAATGTTGTCAAGATTGGCGAAATCTGATAAAAACGTGCTCAAAGTGCCGCAAACAAATCGAACGGCAATCAATAAGATTGACTTGAAAGAAAACAAAACATTAAATAATGGACCAATAATACGTAATGAGAGAAATATTGGCATTAAAAGCCGGTTTTCAAGCGGCTTGTGATCAATGAGAGGTGAGTGAGTGCGTTAAAAGTGAAATTGACTGACCAGGAAGCGTAATTAAAAGATGATTTTTTCCGTCCAAAAACTGGGCCAAGTGTGCCAAAAAATGACCAAGCTACAACAACGTATAATAACTATTAACAAAAATAAGACTGTAAATTCTTCAAGTTCATTTGCAGGCCCAGTGCAAAGAAAACAGTTGGCAGTGCAGACACAGCTGAGTTGCCAGAAAACAGAGCCGGGCCCGACCCGAAGCTGGTGGCCGTGCTCGGTACACTAGCTGCTTTAAAGTGTGCGCTGTTTTGGCGATTTATAAGCGCGAGCTGAAGCTGCAAACGGTTTAGTTCCTCGCCGTAAACATAACTAGTCACAACATCGCGGCATAGAGCGGAACCGACCGCCGACAATCAGTTAACCAGTTAATCAGATTCAACCAGTTGAGAGCGAACCGTAGCTGGGAACAGGAGCAAGTTTCTCTAGACGAGCAAAAGGCCAACGGGGGCAAAGTGAACGTGCGACTTGTTTGGCGGTCTTTTATTTTTATTTCTCGCGTTTTTCTTGCTGCCTTTGTTGCTGTTGTTGCTGGCAAGACCAGAAATTCATTGTCAACACTGCCCTCGCATTCCAAGCCAAAATGCCGCGCATGCCAATGAACGCAGTGGCAGCGACGCCGCAGCTGCTGCTGCTGCTAATGCTGTTGGCGATGTCGGCGACGCAATCATTCGCTCGATCTGCCAGGACAACTGTGGCCCCGGATGCGATTTCAGAAGAAGAGACAACATATGCGGGCGCCTTTGAGGCTAACACGGTAACCATTGCCGTAGATTCGGATATCATACTGACAACTGAGGACGGCATGCAGGCGTTTACACAACTGTCGGACTACGGGCATACCACTACGGAGGAGCCATTGCCGGATTCTGTGCTGCAGCAGCTGGCGCGGGAGCGTGCCGAGAGGGAGCAAAATTCTACGACTAATGCAACGACAACAGCCGAAGAACCCAATTTGTCGGAGAAATTAATATCCCACAACAAGACATTAACTAAAACGGCAATAACAACCCAAAAGACAAAGGTAAGCCCAACAGGAATACCAACAACAACAGAAATTTCAACGGAAGACACAACAGCGACAGAAAACACTGAGCAGCTTGTTGGCCGCAGCGGTTTAAGCCATAGTGCCATAGTCCAACACATGGACACTGCACAGAGTACAGATGATTTGCTCATGGAAGAAGTGAGGCAACAGGCCTATATAGAGAGGGCTTTATCGCCGGATCTAACCCTCTTATTAACAACTGAAAAGACTGCCATGCTAGCCGCATCAGACGATGTCGAGGAGATCACTAGTCTACCACTAATGCAAATGGATCTCAATACCAGTGGACCCCTTCCATTTGAGGCCATTTCATCGGGCACTGACTCGATGCGTCTGGAACAAACTACATGGATGGAAAACCCAGCAGAGCTAATGGGATCCACCACAGAGGCAGATACGCTGACTTTTATGACAACGACCCAGCAAGGACCAGACGATGACCCACAGCTAGAGACAGTCACTAAGGAGGTTAAGTACCACAGCAACGAGAATCTACTCAGTGGCATGAATTCGGATATTGTTACTCAAAATGTTAAAATGCAGCCAGAATTAGAACTAAGCGCTACCGCAGAGCCACAGGTAGAGCTCACTACAGCCACTGTAGCGACGGAGAGCAACACCATCGCCGGCACTGATTCAGTGGCTGAAACTACAATTGCACCGCCCAAAGAGCAGTCCATGCTGACAGTCATTATCAGGAGCACAACGACGGAAGCACCGGAAACCACAACAGCTTTACCAACTATCAGCAGCAGCACCAGCAGCCCTTCCACAACCAGCACCACCACAAGCACAACCACCAGTAGCCCCAGCACCACCACCAGTTCAACCACCAGCGGCCCCAGCACCTCAACTAGAAGCAGCACAACTAGCAGTACCACCAGCATCCCGACTACCACTATCCCGATCACCAGCAGCACCACCAGCAGCACGACCACAAGCAGCACGACTAGCAGCACAACTAGCAGCACCACCAGCACCCCGACCACCACCAGCACGACCATAAGCAGCACCACGAGTATCCCGACCACCACCAGCACGACCTTAAGCAGCACCTCAACAAGCAGCACTACCAGTATCCCGATCACCAGCACCCCAACCACCAGCGACACCACCCTGAGCAGCCTCACTACCAGCAGCACCACCACAGAAGAAATTCCGATTGCAACCATCGAGCCGAAAGCTCAGGCAACACGTGCGCCACGCATTGAACGCATCTTCAACTCGGATGGCGTCGAGGTGCTTTATGGTTACTCATCGGTGGTGCGCACGAACCGCTCCTAAAGGTGCACCACACGCAAATTACCAAAAATTACCTTGTGAAGGTCAACTTGCCATACTAAATCACAAAAATATTTAAATACATTTTCGAGCACAACAAAGGTATCGCGGTGGATTTTCCAAATTCTAAACGAGCTAAATCATAAATTATATTGTGATAAACGAAAAGATAGAGGATGAAAACAATACAAAAAATGTTGTGCAAATTAATGTGTGGCTAAAGAAACGATTTTATAAATTATAAATAAAACATGAATTACAATAATCAATTTCGTTTTGTGTTTGTTTTACAGTTTGCATAAATAATACAAAAAATGTTTATATGAATTCGTATAGCATTTGTGGTTTATCCACAAATGGGTTCGGTGTTGCATTTGCATTGGTGTTTGTAAATAAATATAAATGGCATAATATTACCGAGAGAATCGGCCAAAGTGGCTGCTCAAATACGCTGCATGGCCCAACAGCTGAGAGAAGTCAACAGAAAATGTAAATATTCGTGTCTAAGAGGAGTGGCAACCAGTCTGAACCACTTATGAGTACTATTCGAACTAGCTCTACAGCTGTGAAGCCAATCGCCGCCAACTAACTTGTTTAGCTCTCCGACTTAAGAAATAGTTAACGTTTATCTATAGTTCCATATAATTTAATATAACTCTTCTAAAAGAAGCCCTCGAATTAATATAGTTGACATGAATCAAGTATGCGTTCAATTTTAATTCATATCAAGATGAGCAGCTTAATTTACGAGGGTAAATTACGAGGGTGCTTAGAAACTTTTTGGTCAATAAAGTACGCATTTTGAAAAAAAAACATTATTTTGTACACAACTATATATACTTTATAAGTGCTTATAAATAAATATATATATAGACAGAGGGAGAGAGATATAAATACAGTCAAACTGAAAATTATTTAATTTTGTATTCATATATGTTATAAATGTCTAATTTAAAATTCTAGTGAGTGCAGGGTATCTAAAAGTAGCGCACTTAACAACTGCAACTGCTGGACAACTTTGGAAACTTCTCTCAGCCGACCCACCAGCAAAAATGTGCGCTGCCCACCTGTGTTGAAAACCGGCATTAGCCAAAGTAATCGTCATACATTTTTGGGCTTTAATGTTCCGGCATAAGCAGACGCAGACGCAGACGCAGACGCAGATTCCAATTGAGACTCGGTCGCAGACACGTGGAGGGTGACTGGTCCATGAAATCGAAGCTACCGATCTGGTTTGGCAATCACACTGTGCGGCTTATTCATTCATCGATGTTCGCCGATAACTATATAGGTATATAAGCATATGCAATGCGTATGTATCTGATTAGGTGACATAGGGTTTTGGGTTTAGCAATGATTATCACGTTCCCATTCGAAAGAGTGGGCAATAAAATAAACACGACGCGTTCATTTCCATTCGAACTTGAGACAGGCGCTAAAATGCATGTTGAGTGCGGGCTATATTGCAGAAGAAGAAGAAGAAGTGATTGAAGGTTGAAGCAAAGCGGGTTTTTTTCTATCCGCTGACTAAGTAAACAATTTATTAACTGATACACATTGCTTGGTGATTAATCATGTTAGAATGTACTGAAGTTTACTGTTGAGATATTTATATTAATAGTCTCTGTTGTTGTCTTTCTCTCTCTCTCTCTCTCTCTCTCTCTCTCTTTCTCTCTCACTTTCTCTCTCACTCTCACATTTTTTATAATCTGCAAAGAACGAGTGAGAAACCCAGATATGATAGAGAATCAATGAGAGATAAAGATGGTAGAAAGACGAAATCAAAGTATCAAATAATAACTTTACCTTTATCTCTGATTGCAATCTTTGTACCAATATTGTTTCTCTCCTTCTCCTCTTATCCGCCGAACCCATTAAAAATAGTTAAAGGGGTATAATGTATTTTTGCAAATTTATTTAAAAGGCAAACGGATGATAGCTATAACAGCTAGAGTCACCAAACTTAACATGTAGCGAGTTGAATATATATATATCAAGTTTCTTTCATTTTATAGCTATCCCTACCTCCTCACGCCTGCGTCTTAATTCTATTAACAGCAGTGCAATTGCGACTGTATTATTTTCTGTGCTGAGTGCATGTGCATTTTGGTTTTTTTTAGTTATATCGCAGGATTTTTTTTTAATAGTTTTAAATTTATGTATTCTAATAACTGCTAAAGCAATCGAGCCGCTTGAGCTGAATTTTTGTGTTGGTAGTAGAGGGTTCAGGCACCCCTAGTCTGGAACTTCCAAATAGAGCCTCTCTTGTTTTAAAATAATTTATCGTCAAGTCGATCACAACATTTGAAGTGCTTTTTCTAAGCTTTTGTGAGCTTTCAACAATTTTATTTGCACCCAAAAGTCTGCTTGATTAATCCCAAATTTTGCGTATGGCAATCACAAAGCTTGAGCTTTTTCAAGTAAGAGTTTGAGCAGCTCGAAGACCAGTTCATAATTATAGTCGTAGTGCTAAACGTCATGAGCGGTATATGTACTACAATAATGTTATTTACTTATTTTATTTTGTATTTTTTGTATTAGTACCTCATAAATATGTCAAGAAACCAGTCATTTGATTTCTCCACTTGTGCTTTGCTATAAAAGGCAAGAAATTATCTTTCAGTAATCATTGATTGGATCAACGATGAAGTTCTTTGTGCTGTTCGCAATTCTGCTGTTTGCTCTGGCGGCCGTTCAGGCAGCTCCACAACGCCATAGCGGCCGTGGAGGCGGTGGCGGCGGTGGCCAATCGAGCGCCGTTGCCAATGCTAGTGCTGATGCTTCTACCCAGGGCAATGGAAGTGCATCGGCCAATGCCCAAGCGAGTGCCAGTGCCAACAACAGCGGTGTCAATCACCGCTACTCAGGATAAATAACACAGCAGCTACACTTGAAACGAACCACGCCTCAAAAGCAGTACTGTCTAAAAAATATTGAATAAAATAAATTTTAATTTAATTTAATTTAAAAAAATGGAATATTTCCGTCAAATAATATCCGATTTTGCAATTTCATACCATTTCTGACTCGTAAGGATCAGTTCTAACGATTGGCATCAAAAAAAGGAAATCCAAAATTTTGACGTTTTTTTTTCAAAATAGAGGTCGGTGCGAAAATCGAATCTTTTTCGATGATTATATCCAGAACCCATTAAAAATGGGTATAAGGGTATATTGTATTTGTGCAAAATCCAAATGTATGTAAGAGGCAGAAGGAAGCATCTCCGACCCCATAAAGTATATATATTCTTCAACTAGCCATGTCCGTCTGTCTGTCATTCCGTCTGTCTGTCCGTATGTATTAACGCAAGGACCTCAGAGCATATAAGAGCTATAGAGCTATATATAGTCCCTGCGCAGATCGAGTTTGTTTCCGATAATTGATAGCTTACTCCGTTTCCAAGCAATCGATAAAAATCGATATCGATATCCTGTTTTTTGGGCAATTTTGGTAAATAATAAATGCTAGAGTCCCCAAACTTGACATATAGCTTCTAAAATAGAATATATATATGCATTTGATGTTGGAAGAAGAGGGTTCAGAGTATCCCCTAGTCGGGAGCTCCCGACTAGAACCTCTTACTTCTTGGATGTAGGACTTATGCTATATTCGTATCCTTCTCCATTAACAAACTCAATTCAAACATGCCTGGCAATATTTTTTATTTAACAACTGGTCTTCCTTCTGGACTGATTAACAATGTGAAACTAGTTGCTTGTACTTGCTGTCCACCTCTTTCATTTATCCAACAAGCCAATAAAACGGCTCTTAAGATGTTAAGTTGCTGAAAAAACAACAAGTATGATTTATATACATATACCTCAGGTCTATGAAAACAAAATCAAAAATCGGCAACGAACTTAAATAAATTGTGCTTAGAAAACGTTTGATATCTAGAGACCGCAAAGTCATAAGTGGGCTTGTCGAGGCGCCCGCCTCCTAAATATCAAAATTTACATATAATTTACATATAAAAAGCAAAATAAAATTCCGTTTATTTCGATTGACGTCATTGGCCCAAATATATTTTAAGGGACTGGCCTAAAAATATATGACTGAGCACATTTTGATATCCTAGAGGCATATGTTTTTCAGCCCAGAGCCACGTTCCGATTTCGGAAGTCTCATCGAATTCGCAAACGTGCATATTGCATACTTTTGGGAGAATACCCATCGCAATTGTTTGTTTTTTTTTGCGTATTTGTTTATTTTTTGTTGGAAACATCTACCTCTTCCGATATTTGAAGTTATTTGTCAAGCAAATCTTGTCAAACAAGAGCGTTAATTTAATATTTTTGGCTTACCATTCAAGTGTGACCAGTCACTTGATAATTTCTGACATCAACAACTGTTTAAAATATTTTGTACGGTAGCCAAACGCAAATTTGCATTTCTGCACAGCTGCTGCCTTTTCCAGAACCCGTTCGGCCGTAAATTTATTGCTTAGATTTGTTTAAGCAATTTGCATCATTAGAGCGAACATAATATTAATAAACAATAGGCCCGTTCAACATCTAAATAAATATTGCGATTAACAAACATTTTAATAACAACCATGCGCAGCATTCGGGATGGAATAGAATAAAATCTGGAAAATAAAATCAAGAAATTGTTTTCAATGACGATTTAAAAGTTGATTTCTTATTAAACTATAGTTTTTGAATAAGGTCGGAACCAAATCGAATGTTATTGTCAATATGTTAGCCGGATTTGCCATACACGATTGCCAGCTCCAATGGTTTCAAGCTTAACACAAGGCTGGGTCAGACGAAAAACTAAACACCATAGATTTTCGGAAAATTGTTTGGCAACTTTCTTCCTTATATATTTTGCGTCTAATGTGGCATTTCGCTATATCTTAAAGACATCTAACTCAAATATCATGCATAAAATATGTTATTGTATTCTACCAGCTAAGGACAACCAAATGGATTTGACTACAAATTTTGCCAAGTGTAGTCCATCTTATGAAGTCATTTACGTCTATGTGTATTAGCGGACTTTATACTTCATATCTGTTTCTATGAAAGCGCAATAAAATGAGTATTTTAGTATTGGTATTATTTATATACCTAATGTGCGAGCAGAATATAAATCGATTTGCTACCGAGCTATCTTTTTACGGGGATTTATTTTTAATTAAAATGCATTTAAACGCAAGCGATTTTGATATAAGATATTGAAAATTAAAATGGTTTTTAATTTGTATTAACTTGTTTGAGTGAGGAAGACTTACTGAACACTTTTTTATTGATGCTAAGTGTGTTGGCGATATCTCTAAAGCCCCTACATTGAAAATTTGGAATTCCATTTGTGTGTTAGTAAAGTAAAATATAGCATATAAAAATCATCTAACTCTAACTCTGCCTAATTTTGACAGAAGTACGCTGATATTTGTTCTGCACTCATAAATAATAAAGAATGCTTGTGAAATACCCTCAAATGCGCTTTAAGTAAGTTTAACACAAACAAAATTGTTTTTATGTATTGGATTTATAAAAATTAATAATAAGTAAAACCACATTAGAAATTCTTTGTAGGATCGGTAGGACTTGTCACATATCGATCGCCTATTTTCCAACAAGAAGCTGTAGGGATAAGCCACACCTACCACGGAAACTATCGCCGGAAAAGCCCGTTAAACTCACTGAAACCAACTTCACCATAGTGATCACCATCAACAGTTTTGTCTTTTAGAGACTCGGCATCGGCTCCAGCACTGGCATTGGCATCGCCGCCTCCTAGCTGTATAAAGTCACCTACTAAACTAGGTAATCAGCGCCAAAGATTTCGGCTTTTATAGCACTAAACGGCAAACTATCAGAGTCAGGAAAAGTCAGACAACAACATCAATTAGCAAAGTCAGAAAAGTTGACAAAATAATTTAAGAACAAAAAAAAATGCATGTAGCTGCATATTTTGGCAAGTGTATTTTGTGTTTCGTGCATATTTAATCATCTCATTTACGTCTATGTGTTAAGAGCATTTGCGTCTATGGGCATTAGAGGAAATTATAATAATATTAATATAACTTGTTTTGAAAAGAGCATCAACAATGTTTAATTAGATATCAGTTTCTTAAAAGCTCAGTAAAATTAATATTTTACTATTGTAATTTGTATTTCTAATGTACCAGTAAACTATGAATATATTTATTAGTCTGATCTCTGATTCCCGCGATTTATTCTTAATTAATATGCTTCTAAACGAAGCCGATATTTATATAAGATACTCAACATAACGTTTAACAGCTGTTTTAATTTGTATATTCCTATCTGACAAAGGTAGACTAACTAGAATAATTTTTTTTATTGATGCCAAGTGTGTTGGCAATATTCTAAAAGCGTAACCAGAATTTTGATTTGTTTGTAAACAGAAAAAACACAAACAAAAATCTGCATATACATATATTATTTTCTACACAATTTGGAAGCCGAATGAAATCATCGAACTTTAAACGTGAAGCCCTACTTCTGGCTTATTTTCACAGACTGTACAGCTGAAGTACACTGATGAAAAAACTCACACCCTGTTGCTAATCAATGTTTGTTCTGTATAATTGTGAATCGCTTGAAGATACCCTGTAAATGGGCTTTAAGAAAGGTTAACACAAAAATCATTTTTTCTTCATATTTAATTTATAAATAAAAAATAAACTAATTCACTTTAACAATTCTTTTCAGTTCGGTATAGTTTTTCGGATATCGATTCTCCTATATTCCAGCATTGGCAGATGCGCTGGATGTGGCACTGGCGAGACCACCGCCATTGGATGAGGCACTGGCGCTGGAAGATGCTTTCGCGTTGGCGCCGCCGAAACCACCGCCATTGGCAGTGGCACTGGAATCAGCGTTGGCATTAGCACCACCGAAGCCACCGGGTCCACCGAAACCGCCGCCATTGGCATTGGCAGTGGATTCCGCATTGGCGTTGGCGTTACCGCCTCCGAAGCCGCCGGGTCCGCCAAAACCGCCTTGACCACCGAAACCGCCGGGACCACCGGGACCACCGAAGCCACCTTCACCGCGGTTACCATGATGACCATGATGACCATGATGACCAGGCTTGCCTCCGAAGCCGCCTGGTCCGCCTAAGCCACCTTCTCCACCAAATCCGCCCTGAGACTGAGCATTGGCTCCAGCATTGGCATTAGCATTGCCGCCGCCAAACTGTGGTGCTGCCACGGCCACGGCCAGGATAATGCTCAGTACAACGAAGACCTTCATGCTGCTGCTTGTCCGAACTGTATGAAGTCACCTAACAAACTTGATGATCAGCGCCAAAGATCTCGGCTTTTATAACACTAAACGGTGAACTACCAGAGTCTGTCAATTAGCATACACACATATAGACGAAAATCAGATGAGTTGACAAAACAGTTGAGCCGCTAAATTATGATCACATTAGGCGCCCGATTTCGAGCCCAAGCTAATCAAATTGGATTGTGGGACGAAGGAAAGTGTGCAAACCTTCGGAGGCACATATATGTACGATCTGAATCTATGCTGGATTTCTCTTAAACCAGTTATGGACTGTTATATATTTAAATTTTACTGCTCTCTGCTATTTTTCTTCTTTTTTTTTTGGCAGTTGAGTTTGCTTTGTTTGGTTTCAATTGACGTCTTTCTGAATACTAAGCTACAGGTTTAGGTTTTAATGTTAAATGTATTAATAAAAGAGAAAAAAGAAAATAGAATTTTTGTCTAGGTGTGATATGACTTTGCTTTAGCAAAACTCGTATTAATACTGTACTCAAATTAATGTTATAAAATGATTAGCAAATTTTGTTTACAGCTAAGCTGTTTCACCGGTTTTTCCTGTAATCTTATGACTACAGGAGCCCCAACAAAGCCTTCAAAAATGTATAAAACTTTATTTATTTCCCCTTAGCTCTTCCGCAATGTTGCACTAAAATATATCTAAATTGTAAACTTGCTACATTATTAAGTTATGCTCAACATTGTTGAGCCTGTTTTCATTTAAAACGTTAAAACTACGTGACGAGAATTTTGTCACTTTGGTCATCGGGTTGCTCGGATAAATCTATATCTATTATATAAATGTATTGTTTACAATTTGTCAATATGGCTTGATGTATAATTAACTAAACTTGACCGGGTATATAATTAGTAAGAACAAAGTGGCTGCTGATTATAGGTTTACTAATTAAGATGCTAAGCGACAAAATAAATTAACTAGTTACAATGTTACAGCCACAAATTCATGACTACGCAATGTGCACTGTGCAGAGCCGAGTCGACTGTAGAAATTGATCACAACCCTATTGGTGTGGTTTGTGGTTATAAATGTGTAGCTCTAAGATATATAATACAGATTTTAGTTAATAATACTTTAACTGCATTTTCACCAGGATTGTTTATGCTTCGTTTCAAGAACAGCTTTAGAGAATTATTTAAATTCTCTTGATAAATTTCGATACAATTCGGAATTCAAAGATTTTCCTTATCCTTAACCTTTTCCTTTCATCAACTCAGTAAATACTCGCCTTGTTTATTGAAGATCAGATACTAATGTTTTTTAATCTAGTTTCTTCAATTGGTTTATCAGATCTAAAAGCTTTCACTTTTAGGGGTCTTTGGATACTCTTTAGTGTGGGAATTGGTTTGTGTGTTAGTGTTTTGTATGTATGTGTGTGTAAAGGAGGTTCGAATACTGGTTATAAATTGATATTAGTCAATCCATTATCATACTGTACTATAATATATTGGGCTTTATATGCTATCAATCTATGTTCTTTGGATACAACATAAAAACTTCCCTTCTTTAACCATTGATTTCGGATCTTGCTATTTCTCGCGTAGAATAATAATCGCTTGGGCACACCATCAATAGATACAAATAATTGCAATGAATACTTTTCTTAAATAAGATTAAGCTTCATCATTTTTTATTCACATTAATTAACTCTTAGTTATTTAAGATATACAAGTCAGATCTTATATGGCTTAGCCGCGGAAACCACCACCACCGTTGGCATTGGCGCTGGCCGAGGCACTCGCAGAGGATGAGCCGCCGCCGCCACCACCAAAACCGCCTCCGGGTCCACCTCCGAAACCGCCTCCGGGTCCACCGAAGCCGCCTCCGAATGCGGGTCCACCACCAAAACCGCCTCCAGGTCTACCGAAACCACCGCCGGGTCTACCGCCGAAGCCGCCGCCTCCGAATCCGGGTCCACCGAAACCGCCGCCGGGTCTACCGCCGAAGCCGCCGCCTCCAAAACCTCCACTCTGTGCATTGGCATTGGCATTGGCATTGGCGTTGGCGTTGCCAAATTGAGGCGAGGCTGATGCCAAGGCTATCAGCACGGAGAGAGCGATAAACAGTTTCATGATGAGGCCTCGAGTTGGCTTCGAAAACTTAACAAAGCGCCTGACAAGCGGCGGCTTTTATACAAATCGGACCCGGGATATCCAAATACCCACCTTCCCCAATAATCAGCTGGCCAGCGAAAGAGACAGAGAGGGAAAGAGAGAGAGAGAGAAAGAGAGAGAGCCATAATATGAGAGATCATGAGTGCAAAATGGTCATGTAGCCAAACACACAAACATTTCTGAGACTTCATTAGTTTTCTACAACGTCAGAGATTTGGTTTCAAATTCGCCAGCAACAATAACAAGCCGAACAAAAACAAAAACCACCAAACGATCATCAATGCGAATTAGTATTGTCAATTAGCTGGCCCATAAATGACTATGACAATACCCTACATGCCGCTGGTCAGGTAGAGCAACCGGTTCGTTCTCATCTATTTGTGTTAGAAACTCTTCCATCAGCAGCAATACCAGAACTTAAACGTGCCCCTTGTTCCATGCTATACTTGATTTTCATTATATTTTTTTATTTTTTGTTTTATTTTTTAAGCCAGTTAATTTATAGGATATCAAGTTTTAAATTATAGAATATTCAAAATAAAATGAATAAACATTAAAACAAATACATAAACAAAAACATAACCTGGCTGCAAATGCCAAATAGTTCTATATATATATATTTAAATGAAAAGATAATAAGTATATCATAACGATGTACAAAAGAAAAATTTAATATTTCATTCTAACTAGTTTGAAACAGAAAAAAGCTTGTATTATGTTCGCAATATGGTTCATATGTACTACTTAGTTGAGGTAACTAGTTCACTGAACTGAATATGCGCAGCTCTGCCAAGCATAAAATATTGTTTTTCTTGCCAAATCGAAAGCTAATAGATAAAACAGGTATTAATAATTATTGATTCGTACTTTTTGTATATTCATTGATTCGAAATTTGATTACTTTTATTTATATTTCCTATGGCATACGTTTATTTCTGCTAATTAAAGTATACATTTGATTTAATTTATTCTAGCAAGCTGCTAAGCTAAGCTAAAATGATTTATTTATATATATTTTGTTTTGTATTAGAAATGTTCGTGTCCTGTCACAATTGTTGATATGAGTCTGGCGTAGTGAATAATTTCTTTATCCATCGGGTAAATTGAAATAGTTTATTTTATATCTCAGATTTGGATCCTCAGTACTAAAATTTACATATCAGCCGATCACCAAATCAGATAGTATACTTTTGGGATTTCTAAAAAGCTAAAAACGATTTAAACTTGTACTGAGCTCCGAAAAGTGTGCAACATAGAATTTTGCGAAAGTGTTTTGAATGTGAAATGCAGAATACCCCTGCCTTTAAGTTGACAACGCAATAATAACCATTATTCAGTAATGATCTATGTTAGGAGTACGCTTCTAGAGACACATAGATGATCTATTGGAACTATGGAACATTATCAAAAGCTCTTTCACATTATCATCTCTTATTTGTTACAAAAACTATTAGGCAAAATAATAATTTTTGCAAATATTTTAGCCAAACTTTGAAATGTTGCTGCTCAGGAAATTAATGGCCAATTCCAACCTAATATACATAGTATATATTATTATTAAAAACACATTCAAAGTTCGGCGCTTTGAACTTAATCTTTAATTCTTCGTTTATGTCATACCTAATGAGGCTACAGCTATTTCTCGGCATTGTATTCTACCTTTATTTTTATATGACTGTACGTAATTGAGCTGTCGTCTATGTGGAGGGCATTTCAGGTTTCCTGATCATTAGTTGAAGTGTAGCCAGAAACTCGTGTGTGCAAAACATTTTTATTGTTGTTCTCACATATATGCCGAAATTAACGGGCATTTTATGCAGCTTTCATAGAAAACGATTGGTAATTCACAGAAAATAAAATAAATAAACCAGAAACATAAACAAACAACTATAGAAACGGTTGTTCAGTTTTACAACCCAATAACAACAAACAGATTATAATTTTAGGGCATATTTAAGTAAGTATTATTAAAAAATGTTATGGACTCTTGCTAAAACTAGAATATATTCTGAACGATGGGTTTTTATAAATCAAAACTCGCGTCTTGATATTGAATCAAATTTGGTTAAAAGAAGAGCCCAGAGAGCAGCTCAAGCTGTTCGGTGCGCCGAAAATTGTGGCCCCTTATTTACATTTGCAATAACTTTCTTCTTCAACTTAAATATTTAACACGGTAATACATTATTATATTCATTTAATTCCAAACTTTTTACATATAACTAAAGAATAATTGAACTTTGTAATCTCATGTCGGTGCGCAAGGCTCAGACTCCAACAATTCAGCCACGGAAGCGACCTCCACCTGAAGCAGAAGCAGACGCGGAGGCCGAAGCTGAGGCAGCTCCATTGCCGGCGGCCGCTGCACTGGACGCGGCTGCAGCAGAGGAAGAGCCACCGCGACCACCCCCGCCGCCACCTTTGCGAAATCCGCCACCACGGAATCGTCGTCCGAAGCCACCTCCGAAACCGAACTGAGGCACTGCGGCGACGGCAGCGATCAATAGGACAAGCACAAACAGGATTCTCATGTTGCTCGGATCGATAAATGCAACTGTTGTTTACACAAAGCTGATCATAGGCAAACTGATTGACCTAGGCCAATCCTTCCAAGCTATTTATATGGTTAACAACAACGTAAAACGATCAAACTGTTCAGTCGGCGTTGTGATTAATGAACCCCCGGGTTCTAAGTTCGAACACCTTAAGCTATTCACCTGCTTTCTATGCCTTAATTCAAGTTATTAGCTACGCTTGCAACAATATAATTATTATTATAAGCGTCATCAAGTTGAAATGCTTAAGACAACTTTAAAAGACTGCTGAACTTGATGATACCCTAAGTCAACATGAACTGGTACTTACCAGAGAATTTTATGCATTTGCATAAAATTTTTAACTTTCCGATCGAAAAATTTGTGAAGCAATATTTGAAAATTAACAGAACAGCAATAAGAAATATGTTAAAAAAGAGGGATAAACGTGATATACAGGTGTCCATGAATATTCGCAATAAGTATACTTCCAGATCACATTCCTTCTCTTAGTTTTCTATTTCCCTTTCAAATAAAATAGGGCATATTAAATTTGTCCAATGCTCACACGGACGGTTACATGGATATGACCTCAAAACCACTCTTCTGATCTGGAATATACCCATTTTTGCTATTTAAATGGATACAGGGTATTATGTACTGCATTTGGTGCGCCGGCTTGAACGGGTGAGTCCCCACTCACGAGTTTTACTCGCATGTACTATCAAATGGCATTAATCAAGTGAGTTATCATGAATTGTAACTATGTAACTCTTAGCAGGAATACCAAATTGCAATTAAATGGTATTTAATCAAATATCAACATCAGCGAAATATATTTTATTGAAAAATGATTTTTCACTCTAACAACAACCTCATCCCACAAACTCTCTGAGACGACTCTCCTAACGCATTGATGCAAAGTGACGAGCTGAGTACCGCGGTTGCTCTTTAATGGAACAGTGTGACCAGCTCGTAGGCAGGCAACATTGCCAAATTCTCATAAGTATAGGTCTTTGTTTTTTTTTGAGACTTCACTACATATGTGTGCTTATCAAAGTATTACAAAATATATCGTACCCGGCCGAATCTGACTTCTATATTGTATAACTGTCATTGGGACGATCTGTAAATTTCAAAGCCTTTTGAAAGACTTTTCAGATTCTTCTTCGAATTCTATATATCAGCAAAATCATAGCAACATCGAAATACTATATCCTATAGCTCTATACGAAGCATCCATTAAATAAAGTGTAAAAACTTTTAATTTTTTACGATATCTTGATGAAGCTAAACTAAAAACTCCGCAATACGTATCGGATCAGTCTTCTATATTCTAGATTCCTATAAAAGTAAGCGGAAGAATAAAACTTTTAATGAAAGCATTTCTATGCCATATGCTTACAAGTGCATTTAATATTCGTTGTATGATGGCCGCGGACTTTCTTGTTTGCTTTTTATCATTAGCTGCGAATTTTTATTCTGAGGCACCAACGAATTCAACTTCAAGAGGTGATTCGCCTCTGACGACATCAACGCAAAAAAAAATGTAACCAAATAAATTATATAGATAAATCACAGAGAGATCAATTAATTGGATGTTTAGACAAACATTGTTGCTGAAAACAGTTTTAAGAGGTTTTCGGGAACAGGTGCAACGGGCTTTGAGGTGTGCTTGTGTCGAGCTTTTAGCTTGTCACGAAAATAAATGTTGATAAATTCGTAACAATGAGCGAGCCCTGTTATTATCTTGTCATATATTGTGAACCCATAAAGTTTAAGTTAAAGTTAAAGTGATTACTTATATTGAGCTGCGTCATGTTCATCTATTAACTTTTTATAGAAACGACAAATAGATGGTATTGAATTTTGTTTTAATTTTCAGACTTTTAAACATAGCTTATAACTAACTAAGTTAACATTTTGTAAAATCTCGTATCGGTGCACTGCGCACAGACTTAAGCATTTTAGCGACCAAAGCCGCCACCTGACGCGGAGGCTGACGCAGAGGAGGAGGCTGAGGCAGCACCATTGCCAGCTGCCGATGCACTGGACGAAGCAGAAGCAGAGGATGCGCCGCCGCCGCCGCCACGACCACCACCGCGACCACCAAAGCCGCCGGGTCCACCGCCGAATCCGCCACCTGGGTAATAACCACCGCCGCCAAATCCAGGGCCACCGAATCCAGGGCCGCCGAATCCGCCACCGAAGCCGGGGCGTCCGTAACCACCACCGAATCCAGGGCCGCCGAAACCTGGACGTCCGTAACCACCACCGAAACCAGGGCCGAAGCCAGGGCCACCGAATCCAGGGCCACCGAAGCCAAATTGAGGCAGTGCCGACGCGGCAGCTATCAACAGGGCCAGCACAATGAGAGTCTTCATATTGCTCGTATCGTTGGGCAGAATTGTAGTTTCCTCTTAGCAGATGACAGTCCAACTGATGGACCTATGTCGAACCACCCAAATATTTATACGGCATACGTAAGCGTGAAACGCTCGGACTGGTCTGTAGGCCGCGTGTGATAAATGGAATCCCGAGCGGAGCGGAGTTCGGACATCTCGGACCATTTACCGGTTTTCTTTGCTTTTATTTCTAATTATCAGCTTCGACTTCATTATGAGCGCATCGTCGTCATCATTATCTGTTTCATTTTGTAAGCCGGCTTTGGTCTGTCACTTGACCGGGTGAATCCCAAAGCAACAACTCTGAAAGCTACAAAATTATAATACATACGATCAAATTATGTGGATGAAGTATGTACTTATAGACCTTAGCATTGATAAATATGTTGTGTTTGCCTACAAGTGGCTTATTGACTTTTTGCAGTCAACAAAGATATGAGATGATCTTCCTGCTTTGAGGAATTCCCCACCACATACACGAACACACTCTCACGCATATTTATATATGGCAAATTCTAGTAAATAGACAAGTTAATCTTGAAGAGTTTATTCGCCTTTATTGCCAAAGCGGTTTCTATGGCGTCGTTACAAAGCAAACATCAAATAGAAAACAAATTTTATTTTGAGCAAAACTAATCTCAAGCTCGGTTCATTTTGTGTGCGCATGCTAAAAATGTCCAAAAAGATCTTAAAACATGTTTGCCACACACTTTAACCATGAGCTATTACTCATCAGAGATGTGCACATGTCACGATAGTGGAATTTCGAATATCCATATACACTTAAAAGTTTATCCAGGAAACAGTAAACTTTGCAAATTTTGATATCTATCGATTAGTAATATCAAGAAATATCCAATAACAAAACGTTTTGAACTATAATTTGAATATATAAAGAATTAATTGCTCGAGTATCAGACTTGTGAGTATCTAAAACATCTTCATATCAAAATAAATTTACCAACGTCTGCTTAAGATAAGATATATATGTGATTAAATAATAGTTTCTAATATTAAGAAATATTCACAAATTATATTTTATTTCTTCATTTATTATTTTGTGTGACATACATTTCATACTATAGTTTCATATATAATTATAGTTATCATTTTTGTTCAAATGTACCTCAACAAAAACTAAAATATTTCTCTCAGTATATATTTTTTTATAAATTGTCATCTGTTGGATACACGCAAATAAAAAAACTAGCCCTGCCAATATGGCGTAAAACAAATGACAAATGATATACCGACAAAGCACCGGAGGCCTTAACCCAGGCGTAATTTACATACCGCACGCATATTTGTATTCTTTTTCACAAATCGCCTCGTCCACCTTGCCGAAATGCACATACCCGTAGACACACTATGTTTACAATAATAAATGTTGTGTACCAAAGCAAGGAATACACTATTTTAACTATTACCTTTTTTCTCTAATAAATATAAATACATAAATTAATTGTAAAATTAACATTTTACCTGTAGACTTTTCTTCTCATATCTCTCGGTGTACATCGCAGAGCTAGTTTACAAATTGCTGTGAGTGAACTATAGAGATCCATTCATAGACAAGTATAATATACTATTACTCAAGTTTTCGTAGTATGCAAATCGAAATCAAAGTTTTGCTTCCTAAGCGGATGATTTGTCGACAATTAAACAACCAATAAGCGATGCTAATGAATAGCGAGAATATAATAATTATATATTGAATTGCAAATTCTAAATCTCTGCTTATAGGGTGTGTATTGCTGCGAGCTCATTTGGATAGCTGGTAGAAGCTGGTAGAATAAAGTACATTGTAATAAGAAAACAGGGAAGTATAGTATATTTTAGTAACATCTAATAAATAGTTGACTATTAAATAACCTCTAGTCAAATGTTATTTATATTATTATTTGCAGCTGAGCTCGTAGTTTATTTCTATTGATTTAATATTTAACACAAAATACACAAATCATTCCAGTATAATTTTAGATCCCAAAACCAGTTACAAAGTCGCTATTCCACAGAGAGTGTATTCGAGATATCACACGTGAATAGTCGGGTTTATGTTCTTAACATTTGCGAAGAACAATGTGCGACTATACGACTCATGGGCTCGTAGGGATTTCCCGACAGATGAAAATCGTGTGAAATTGGTGATTTTTTGGTCAAATATTAGACAAAATTAATATAAATAAAAGACGTATACGCAATTAGCACGAGAGTGGCGGGGAAGTCCAACGGGGAAAGATCCAATGCCAGCCTTTCAAAATCTCAGCTGTTTGCGCTTATAACTGCTGCCATAAACAAGCTGTATAATAAATGCACTTAATTTAAATGTTTATTCAAACAGCTTAAATCTTAAATTCAATCAAAGCTTTGGCTAATTTCTCTGCTTTCAAATTTGTCTCAAGTCTGTTTTTGTTTATTTATGCAAACTGGCGCCCAAACAAATATTCACATTTTGGGACTTCGCATAAGTGTCTCATCATACAACCAACCGGTTTACCAATCATTTTTTCTTTCTCTCTTCCCCTTTTTTTCATCATTTATTTTGCCAAATTAACTTTGTTTTTTTTTTTGTGTAATGTTTGGCTTTGTTAATTTATATAAGCGTGCGGCATTCTTTTTTTTTTACTTTTTGACGTAGTTGACTTTTTAGCTTCAAATATGGTTTATTATATTATTAGCTAATAAAAAAAACTACTAAATATGTTTGACATTTTTGTACATACAATTTAACGAAATGCTTGCAAAAATATAATTTTTTTATATTTAATTAACTAATAATTTTGGTTAGGCGTGTATATATGTATGTTTCTTAATGGCACTAATAGACATTAAGATTTGTGTTTTCTAAAATCGTGGCAATTATTTTTGTTGTTTTGTATTTTTAATTTGTGCTCATTTCGCGTGGCGGCTAAAAAAAATTGTTGACACGCTTTCATCTCCACCTCTTAGTTCGGAATTTTTGACTTAAAGCTCATAAACACACATTCGTACGCGGCTAAAATGTCGCAGTTAGAATAAGATATAATTAATCAATGTATACATCAATAGGAAATGCGTAAATAAACAACAACTCTTACTAATATGTGATTATTAAAAATGTAAAATTGTTTTTACTTAAAGCTTGATTTGAAGGTTTATTATCAATGTAAAATATTCAATAGTATATAAAACTTAGATATTGATTAAATTTTTGTTTATTCTTTAAGATATTTCATTTGTAATTTTGCTTTAGAAGACGTCAGTCGATTGGTATGATTTCCAAGCCTCGTAAAATAAATCGCAGAGTAATATGTAACCGAGCTTGGGCCTGTCCAAATCGGATTTTGAATGTACCTGAGCAGAACCTCATTCGGAAAACCCTCATTAAAATTCATATTTCATATATTGAATATAATTTATTCTCAAACTTCAAGGTTCGTATATGTTTCATATTATATACACTGCAAATATATGTAAAATTATATTTAAAGCGTGGTCAGAGTTAATTTACAGTTTATATATGCAGTAATAATGAACTCCATTTAATTGAAAATATTTGCTTATTAAATGCAATCAAATTCAAATAATTTATAGTAGTAATTTATTCGTATTACCCGTCATGGCAACCGCGACACTGCAATACTATAAAATGCTTTCATATACCCAAATTTTCAACTAGCTAACGTCATGTTAATAATTTATACTGAACAACAGGGGCTAAAAATCTATGCATTGCCATGGCAAAAATATGAATTTGATTTGGGCCAAAAGGCAATACATTTTTGCATTTGTCCGTTTATTGTTATTGGCGATTTGCGAGTCTCTCCGGCAGCCAAATCGAATTACCCGCCTAGTTGGCAGCGGCGCAAACTTTTCAATTATGCGGCGCTCGGTTAATGACCAAAGCGACATCAAGCGACAAACGCGTTATGCAATACAATTTAAATTATTTAATTTTAATTAAAATTCCTCATACATGCATTGCATTCGGGTCTGCTTTTAGGCGGCGCCAGAATTTACTGAGTTCGTTCAGCTTTGATTTCGCTTTTGCAAAAAAGAAAAACAACAAAATTCTTTTAAGCTCTGCAGTATATTATTTAGTCAAATAAATGGAAGGAAAGACTTTTGTATTTCACATGTATACCTTGTAATGCTCATGTTTTCTTCTTTTTATAGGTGCAATATTAGGCTTCTTTTAATTAACATTCAAGTTTAATATAAGTTTTTATTTAAGCGAAAACACTTGAAAATATTTTATTCGATAAGTAAAGAAATATATACTTTTCTTCATATTTTTAAAACATTTATTTATATTATTACTGCACACAGTTTTTACAAAAATGATAAAAATACCATTGTTAATTCCATATATACATACATATAAAACATGTTGCATACTTTCTATCACTGGTCGGTAATATTATTATATTTAAATAGAATTATAATACTTTTCGTGTGCTCTAAAAAGACTTCTATATAAACGGTTATTAATTTTATCTATTGATCTTAAATAAATATCTCTATGCAATTGCTATTCCCAATCTGGAAACCAATCTTGGATTGGTTGCATGCATCGCAGTTGTTTGCATAATAAGAAAATATTTAAAGTACATAAAATTATTGCAATTCTTTAGGCAGGAAACTATCGGTAAAGTTTAAGTTGCTTAAGCTTGTAGAATATAAAAAAGTTAAGAAAAAAATGTTTCGCATATGTATTTACATTTATTTTATTGGCTAACATAAATTGCGGCAAACAAAGGAACACAATATTGTCAATTCGACAACGATGCAAAGTCCAACGGTGGCAACAGCAATTGCTGCCATCATACAAATGGCAACAGCAACAGCAACATGCAACACAAAGCGTCAGAGGCAGCAGCAGTCAACAGTGTGGCAAACCGCCAGAAACAGCAACAGGAACAGGAAGAGCAGCCGTTGTTGGCCTATCCCAGGGTAAGCTCATGGCTCCTGTTGTTGCCCTCCTGCGCGTACACTTCCTCTTTATGCTGTAAAGTGCACCACAGGGGTTCATTGTCCTTGTGCAAATTGGTCTGAGTTTATTGCCAATGGCTGTTTGCAGCAGACGTTGTCCGACCCAACAGCTGCTCCAAGCAATCTCTCTCACTCTTGCATCCCTGCTGAATGGGATGCGCTCCTGTCTCGGCTGGCGGGCAGTTGCAGTCGCCGTTTGTCTGTGGCAATAAAACTGCACTTTGAGGCTGCACAAAGTTTGCTTAAGATTTCAATTTGTTGCTAGTAGCTGCCGCCGCATTGTGTGCAACAATTTGCAATAGTAAAATTGCCCCCAACGTAGCAACTTTGGCTCCTAATGATAAATGCTTGCTAAATGCCACAGACGGCAATTGAGTCGTGGCTTGCGTGCAGCGCCATTTTCAGGATTTATATGACCAAACTATGTTATCAATGTCTACAGCTCCTTAAAATACGCGCTCGCAGCTCTCTATTATAGGCCCATTTATTAGAGCTAAAGTTTTCCAGCTGCAATTACCAACTTAAGGCATGCACTAGAAAAAATTGTAGAGAAAGTGGCAAAAGAATCGATAACAGAATATCTTTAGATAAGTTAATATAACCAGAATGCCGTTAGAATTTAAAATTCTTGATGTTTTCAATAGATTCTCCATCTAAGTTGAAAGACTTTTATTAATTGGGAACTAAATCGAATATCGTTATTTTTATCATTGCTAATGTTATAATTATTATAATTAATAGGTAAAGGAAATATTCAAAGCTCCCTTTACGAAATCAAGTACAAGATTTTGGTCTACTTAGCATCGACTCTAAATAAATCTTGACTTGAGTACACACTTAGAGCCCCAGACAACCCACGATATCCTAAAGCTTACAAAACAATTTTAGTGTACGAACATATCTGCATCCAGCCACTAACATATGCAAAGCCTTCTGCTTAAGTACTCGGTTTTCCTCAAGGACAACACGTGACTTTCCAACTGTAATGAAAACTTTTCAGTTCGGGCAAAGTTATGAAATATTAGCGCCGAAATGCGTTTGAGCATACGGATAAGTTCTGCGTACTGCCACCTGGCACAAGTTTACGACAAGTTGCCTAATGAAATTAAAGAGCAAGTGTATTCTGACAAACTATACGATATGCTATCATGAAACTGTGAAGCTCTCTGCCTAGCAAGCTTTTACCAAATTGCATAAAGCCGGTTTAACTGGCTTAACTGCTAGGCCCGCCCTCCCTCTGCAAGCCAATTAATTTTTGTTTAGATAAGCAGCAATAGAATGTTCTAGATCTAAGTAGTAGACTTTGAGATACTCAGTAAAAAATGAATATAGTTTTTTATTGATTTGTCATTTATCTAATATTTAAAAACATGCTAACGCTGTCTGATTTATTTAATTATTTTTTAAACTATTCGCACATAAAATGTTTGAGCCCAGACAAATTAGGGTTAACCGTCTTTATATCTATACAACCGGGAATAACTTCTGTTCCACACAATTACACATTTTTATTATACCATATCCATTTTTATGAATATATGCGGGATTTAATTACCCTTATGACCTTGGACATCTAATAGACTCTACCTAACTAATTGTTGGCCTATAGAAATTGCGCAACCAAATCATACAACGGTTATAAAAACTTAGTTTTATTAGAAACATTTATTTGAGGTGTCTTATTGACTTTGAAATACTCTTTCGTTTTGTAGTTGGGGCAAAGTGAGAAACTAAGATAATTAAACTAACGGCCATAGCTGCCTGCTGAGGCTGAGGCTGACGCAGATGCTGAGGAGCTGGCGCCACCTTTGCCGCCACCACCGTAACCGCCACCACCGTAGCCACCACCACCATGGCCGCCACCACCATGGCCGCCACCGCCATGGCCACCTCCTCCAAAGCCGCCGCCGCCGCCTCCATGTTTGCCACCACCACCGTAGCCGCCTCCTCCGTGTTTGCCGCCTCCAATACCGAGACCGAGGCCGCCGCCCAAGAATGGTCCACCAGCGCCTGCACCTGCACTGGAACCAGCTGAGGCACCTGCACTGCCGCCTCCGATACCACCAAAGCCAGGTCCGCCACCAAATCCGGGTCCACCGCCGCCATGGCCACCGCCAGCTGATCCACCACCGAAGCCGCCGCCTCCATGACCACCGCCTAGTGATCCGCCACCGAAGCCGCCGCCTCCATGACCACCGCCTGCTGATCCTCCACCAAAACCGCCGCCTCCATGGCCACCGCCAAGAGATCCTCCACCGAAGCCGCCGCCGCCAAGACTACCACCTGCAGATCCACCGGCAAAGCCACCACCACCTGCTGATCCTCCACCGAAGCCGCCACCGCCTTGACCGCCGCCTCCATGACCACCGCCAAGAGATCCTCCACCAAAGCCGCCGCCTCCATGACCACCACCTACGGATCCACCGGCGAAACCACCACCTCCTGATGATCCTCCACCGTAGCCGCCGCCGCCATGACCACCACCGGCGGATCCACCGGCGAAACCACCACCTCCTGTTGATCCACCACCGAAGCCGCCGCCACCATGACCACCACCAGCGGATCCGCCACCGAAGCCGCCTCCACCATGACCACCTCCCAATCCACCTCCGCCGCCATATCCAGGACCTCCGCCGCCGATACCGCCGCCGCCTGCACTTGAACCAGCTGAGGACGATGCTCCACCACCAGAACTACCGCCACTAAAGAGGCCGCCGTGTCCGCCGCCTCCAGCTCCACCTAGTCCTAGTCCAAGGCCTCCACCGCCACCACCGTGCTTTCCACCGCCCAGACCCAGGCCTCCGCCTAGACCTAGTCCAAGTCCGCCACCGAGGCCTAAGCCTCCGCCGCCGCCGCCGCCGCCTCCAAATTTACCGCCTCCATCGGCGCTGGACGACGCTGACGCAGATGCCGACGCTGAGGAAGCGGCACCACCATCACCGCCTCCATATCCAGCGGAGGCCAACGCAACGCAAATACTTAGCACAATAAACAGTCTCATCGGAACTTTTGATTACCGCCAACTGACTTCGGCTCCTAGAGAACGCTCAGCTTTTATAAGATGCCGAGGCATTGCGAAAAAATAATTTACAACAAATGCAAAAAAACCCAAACTAAAAAACAAAATCAAACAAAACAAACACAAAAAAATATATAAAATAAAATAAAATACAATCAAAACAAACTGGGAACCGGGCTACGTTTAACAAGCAAATACAAAACTCTAGTCACGTTCTGAAAACCGGGATCGATGCCGGGTCAGACGGTGCAAAACTCTGATAATTAATCCACGGAGAGAGGCAAAAACAACGACAACAAAAGATCGGGAGCCATAAACAATAATAAGATATTTATCATCATTTATATATTCGACACTGTCTGCGATTCTCTCGAATTATACTCTAACCAAATGATTAGAACACAAATAATGGAGCTATCCAAGCCCAAAAAAAAGTTCTTGATTAATATAAACACAAACATATATGTAGTAAGAATAATAGATGGTGAAAGAGAAACCTTTAAAATGATTAATAATTCTATACAATGGAATAAGGTATATCCTATAAAAATAGAATACAGAATTTGGCACTAAAGCAGCTATTTTATTTTATTTTGAAAATAATTAGAAAACTTTGAATATAGAATTTTCAAAATAATCACATATAGCAAATATAGAAAATCATTGAAAATTTAAGAGATTCCGTTACCATTATCCTCTAAATCCTCTAAACAATTTTCTTGATTACACAAAAACAACTTAATTCCAAGTCAAAATGTTTATCAGTTTTCATAAAGAAAACTACTGAAGTCAATATACATATATATAAAGAGCTTTGTGTAATGCCAGAGCTCTTAATCTTCATAATCTGTGACTGTGACTGTGACTGTGAAATATATAGGTAGCTCTGAACGCAGCTGAGAAGAAAATATATAAAGTAAATTGGAAATTCCCAAAAATAAAAACGCCATAAGATATGTATTCTATTGAATGTCTGTTACGCTCAGAGCATTCATTATTCGTCCATTATCAGTTTTCTTTTGTTTCTTTTTCTCATAGTATAAATTGTTTATATAAATCAACGTTTCGACGTCATTAAGATCGGAAATAGCTGTGCTGATTCTTGTCTCGGCTGTACGAGATTGGAATTTCAATTTAGCAGTACTTGGGAATTATGATAGTAAGTGACCCTTAATACCAGTCTATTAGAAAAGATTAAAAACCGATTAAGATTAATACTGCAGCCAGTAAATAAATAGGTATTTCATATATTTCGCGTTACTAAATTGAAATCAAAACAGTTTAATATTCAAATACGATGATATATAATGATTAACATAATACTATAAAATGTGGTTAAAAGCTGTCATATTTAAAGAAAAAAAAAAAAACACTCAAGTTAATTTAATCTGTACTCTACTGGTTTTATACATTGTATATATTTGGAATTTAAAAGATGAGCTCTTTTCCATTGAGAGCTAAATGCTTGGCATATTTCGTGCGTGGTTTTCGTTTCTCTTTTTAGTGCTCAAGAAAACTCAGTTTTCACGCCTTGAACACAGCTTTTCACTTATTTGGATGGCCGGGTAAACTGAAATGCAAATGTCAAGAGCTGGTGGCCTGAAAGCATAAGCAGCTCTGGGAAGTCAGTCACAAAACAACAACCACAACAAGAACAACAACAGCAGCAGCAGCTGTTGAGAAAATGGCATGTGCATAAGAAAATAGAAATTTCCCTCAAGGAAATCTGCTTAGAAATGCATGTACTCGTTGTTGCCAATGCTGCTGCTGCTGCTGCTTGGAAAATCTGCTACAGTTTCTGGGCCACGTCATTGTCAGCCAAAAGAAACAACACTTGACTTCCGTTTCCGGTCGAGCCAGTGCTTGCCACCCGCTGCATATTTAAAAAGCGTACAGTTTTATGCAAATATCTATTCCATATTTAAAGCTACACAAGAAAAGGCAAATAAATAAATAAGTATTATATATTACGAAATGCTATCTGGCCGCATTTTGGCCAATTGCTCGACCTCGTATCCTTAGACCCTTGGCCTCGCCCTCAATATCCTTGGCCTGTGGCTGCTTGCCCAGCACTTGCAGCATTCGGTTGTAGAGCAGCTTTCGCACATCGACCGCCCAGAGAAAGTCCATGTGATTGAACTCCTTCAACGGCACCAGATACTTGCCTGTCACATTGCCCAAATCCTCGCACATGGCCTCCACATCGTGCGGATGACACAGCAGATCGTTGCTCGAATAATACACAAATGTCGGCACCGTCACCAGGCTCAGATTGTAACGCGGCGGCACATGCTCCCTGTACAAGACCATATTCTTGTTCGAACTGTAGCTATAGGGTGCGAATCGGCCAGTTTTGATAATTTGTATAAAGTGCTTGACTTGCTTGGCAGCCACGCCTGCGGGATAGTGGCCCAATACAACGGGAAACATTTTCTGAAATTTCACAGCTAGTTAAGCAATTCGTAATTCCGGCTATAATACGGGTACTTACCCTGTTGAACTCGTTCCAATTGCGTCCCACAATGCCAAAAACTGCTTCAATGCAAAGTCGCTCCGTTTCTTCGGTCATGCGACAAAGAAATCGAAATTCACCATTAAACATCTCTGTTATGGAGCTGCCCACCAGACTCTGGAATTAGAAGCGTTCGTTTCCCTTTTAGAAATATTGCAAGTCTGACTGAGATGTGAATATAGCTTTTCACATCTTAAAAATGTAATTTTTTTTTTCAAAAACAGAATATAATATTCGATATATCTAGATTTGTTGATTATCTAAAAAATATTAAAAATGGTTGCAATTAAAATGGACAAGAAAATAATAATTAATACAACAAAAGCTTCTGACTTGAAAAAATGTGCCTTCCAGCAAAAAAAAAATAAACTTTAAGCAAACTTTAAATAAAACTTCTTGAATATTGATAGACTCACATTGAAATACAAACTCATGGCACGTATGTAAGGATGATCTTCGGTTTCTTTGGCATAGACAGCAGGAGCCATGGCTTGCATGGAGATGATCTTCTCGTTGTACGCCGGTCGCATGGAACACATCACAAAGAAGGCCGTGCAGCCCTGGGAATGGCCGGCATATTGCAGCTTCTTATAGCCGGTTACCTTGAGCACATGATCGATCATCGCTGGCAGATCGTACATGCCAATTTCATGCCAACTGAAGTCCCAGAACTTGGAGGCATCCGGATCGAGGGTTGTGTGATTTCTGGAGTAGCGATTGCCACGCGCATTGCCTAGCCAAACGTCATAGTTGTGGTCGGCCAGCAAGTAGGCTACAGAATGGTGAGGGCAGAGACGATGGTAATCATTTGGCTAGGCATTAATCACGCAGACATGAAGCAGACAACACACTCACCCAGACTCACATTGGGGCCCATGACAACGAATCCCGCCGAGCTATCAACGAGTCCATGCTGGAGCAAAAAGGGCTGGGCGCCCGAATTCCGTATGCGATGCATTGTTAGAATGTAGCCATCGTCTGTGGTCACATGATGCACTTCCGCCTGGTAGCCGTACTTGGCAATTAATTTATCCTGTTGATGAAATGTGTAAATTGTTGCAGTTGATGCCAGGGTGTTGACCGGTCGCCCGGATTGACCGGATTGCTCCGGGCCATTAATCTTCGTACCACACTTAGGTTTGAGTCTTGCTTAATGTTTTTACGTTGCAGCTTCTCCTCGGGCGTCTCATCTTCGATGCTTTCCTCCTCCTCCTCTTCCTCTTCTTCCTCCTCCTCATCCTCCTCGCCGCCAATGAGCTGCGCCTGCGTTCTACTGATGAGCAGGCACAAGCCCAACGCAAACAATAAGCGACGTTGCATTGTTATCAAATGGAGCCTTTACTTGATTTTATCCCGAAAAGCATAAAGTGAAATTTGGCTTTAATTTTGGATACTTTTGGGTTTGTTTGCCTCTTCACTTGTTGGTCAACTTGAGCGCTGCACGTCGCGGCCTCAACTGAAACCGAAACCGAAAACCCGGCGACGCGTTACGAACTTCCGCGCTTACAAAGAATGCCGAAAACTTTCGATCAGCAACAACAACAAGGCCATTGACAATAACAACAACAACAATCATAATAACAATATGCGTAATGACGTGTTTTTGTTTTTATTTTATGAGGTTTACCTTTTGCGCTTAAGCTCCAATTATACCCTGTAGCCAACATGTGATTGAAAGGGGTAAAGCCCACTAAAGTGGCTAACTTTGATATTTATTTTTGTATTCAAATAAATAGGATTAGCTTAAAGTCGTACAAATTAATAACAATTAGGCCTAAAACCCAAAATAAAGTGCTTAGTTATTAGGTTCGGTTAGATAAATCAACGATTGGATGGAAATATATTTATTTTCAAACCAAGTTTTCGTATTAAGTTCATGGTAAAAATAATCTTATTGGTTCGTCTCAAAACCTGTTTACAGCTCCAACAACAACATCCATTTTTAGCATATTTAAGTATTTTATATGAACATCTGTTGAAAATCATGAAATTTGTATATAAGTATATATTTTTTAGGAGCTAGCCATTAAATTGGCATGACATATTTTAGAACTTCATACAACACAGTTATTTCCAAATATATAATAGTACGCAATTTAGATATAAGTACTTATAAATATTTAAAATGCATTGAATTATGTTTACTGAATAGAGAGTATCTACTAGTTGATACTAATCACTTTGATCACTTGAAAATGAAATGTTTTGGGACAGTTAATTAAAGTGAGAGAGACAGCGAGAGAAAGGGAAGCGAAAGACGTATTGGGATGCGTAGGGCGTTGCTATCGATAAAGAACTACACACGAAATTCAACTACAGTAAAGCTTCGATGGGTGTGTATCAATTAAGTCTGTGCCAGCATTTATGTAGGTCGCATTGCACTGATTACCTTTGTTATGTGGTAAGAGCGAGCAATTGTGTCAATTTGCTGAGGCAAGAAAAGTTTTCCATTGTAGATCTACGAAAAAAATAAAGAAACGAGTCGAATACCTAATAATTAAACAGTTTACCAAAATTGAACAAGTTTAACACAATATTTCGATAATAACAATATGTTGAAGAAAATAAGTTAAAGATTGGAAATTTAACAAAAAACAAAATTGGTAAATAAAGAAATAAATAAACATAATCAAATATTTTTTGCAGAGCATACAAAATGCTTACTTAAATTATTATTTCGAATTTATTCATTTCGAAATGTTATGAGTTAAATGTCAAAAACGGTTGGAATGTTACGTTTCCAATTGAAGATGTCTTCTTAAGTTATTTGGTTAAATTTTTTTATAATAAACAATGTGAAACATTTTTAAAAAAAATCAGCTAATCCTTTTTAGCAAATGGCGTCTGAATCTTGCTAAATTTATAATGTTTTTACAAAAGATAATAAAAACAAATATTGTGTCGGTCGAGTTATATTAAAAGTAGGTATATAAAACTTCAAAAAAAACACATTTAAAAATAATTTCAAACAATATTTAGTACTTGCAATAAACCATAATTTAAGAGTTAGTTAGAGTATCCGACCTATGATTAAGAAATACTTATATTTAAATTTTGCCTGTGCGTTTATTCATGCTTTTGGCCAAGTTTCAAGCGAATTGGCTTAATAACATTTTTGGCTGAGCCACCGTTGTTGGCGCTGCGGCATCGTCTATTGTGGGTCAAAAACTTAGGCGGTGGCCAGAAACAAAGACAACAACACGGCGGGGAAAAAAAAACAAACAACATTTTTGTGCGCTTGCCTTTTGAGTGGGCAATCAAAAGAAAGTAAAAGTGTTGGGCCCAGACGGCAATTTGTCACATTTTGTTGTTGTTGCTGTTAGTATTCAGTTTTTTATTTGATTTTTTTTTATGGTTTGGCCAAAGTCGAACCGATTACATAATTGCTACTCGGCCATTTGAACATTTGGACATTTGGCCGGTTGCCAAGGCAAATAAAACACATTTCGCTTGGCTCGCGCTTTTAATGAGCCTCAATGGACGCCTTTGATGACAGCTTGGGGAGCCAATTACTTAGCACCACCGAACCTGACGCCTCATTCGATTATGTACGGCAATTTGCCTTCGAGAAACTTTTCCATTAGCTCGATCAGTTTGTCGTTTACCAAAGTTATGACCTCGCCGGCCACCAGGAAATCAAAATGATTGAACTTCGCGGATGCAATGCGCCGCACGCTGCGCACCGAGTTCAACATTCTGGCATAGATGCCATGCACACCCTCGGGCGTGGCAATTGCATCCGTTTCCCCGAAGTACAGTATGATGGGCACACTGATTTGGCTGATATTATAGTTAAGTGCCTCGACACTATGATAGATCTGCATATTCTCAATGGGGCCATAGTCGTACGAAATGAAATCACCCGATTTCCAAATCTGCTGCAAGTGTCGCAGCTCCCGTGCAGAGCCACCCTGTAGCAGATGCTCATAGCTAAAGATTTCAAGCAACTGCAAGATATTGTGGAAAGTTGAGTAAAACGATGTTTTGAGTTAAGCAATGATTTACCTTTTTGTTGCTCAATGCACTGCCCGCTAAGTTTTTGGTATAGTATTCACATAGCTCCCGCTTTTTAGAACACAATTTACGCAGCTCTCCAGGTGGAAATAGTTCAAATTTGTTGGCCTTTTCGCGTTTCTATAAACAATTAAATAGGACAATAATCTTAATTGTGTATTATTTAAAGAAGATAAGCCCAATATTTATAGTCAGGGATTATAAAATATTATATATATATATATATATTCTCAGTCTGAGTACATATCCATATCCATATCCAGTTGTAACGTTCGTTTATAACCTTTGATAAATATTATTAAAATATTGACATAAATTTACCACATATGCCCTTAAATTTTATAATGTTTATATAAGGGCTGCTTAAATAAGAATGTGATTTAGTTGCACGTTCATTTTTAATTTTACTCCCTTGCTGCAAAGAAAATATTTATTTTTGACTCAAATTGAAATAGAGGAGCGGAATCTAAAAATGTCTATGGTATATGTCTGTGATTGTAAAATGTTGTTAATTTTGAATAATCGATTGAAATGGTCGCAAATGCAAATCAAAAACTGTTCTCGCTCTCAATCTCAATCTCAATTGCTCTCGGCAGAGCACAGCTGATTGAGCTCTCGAGCGGCGCTCTGTGGGGGGTTATCAGTTATTTTTGAACCCCGTCGAGATTAGAGCTCTTACACATTAGTTTTGTCTCCAAGTCTGCCCACAGCCGCTCTCCATGATGTCAAGAGGCTTATCAGCTGCCCGCATGGTTTGGTCCATATACTCGAGTCTTTAGTCTTGCTAAGATGTTGAAGCTAAGCAGCCGACTGCAAGCGCAAAAGGTTTTGCCTTTCGGCTGGCAAAGATTACGCCACGCCTCCTCCAGCACAGGCGGAGAGGGTGAGCGCACAGCACTTTATGATTTCCATGTGCGCAAAGGCGGCAAGATTGTGAACTTTGGTGGTTATGCACTGCCCGTGCAGTACTCCGACCAGAGCATCATCGCCTCCCACCTGTACACACGCCGTGTGGGCTCCATATTCGATGTGTCGCATATGCTACAGACCTATGTGCGGGGCAAGGATGCGGCCGCTTGTCTGGAATCCATTTGCACAGCTGACATTCTGGACATGCCCGCGGGCAGCGGCAGCCTGACAGTGTTTACCAACGATCAGGGAGGCATTTTGGACGATCTGATCGTGAATAAGGTCAGCGACAAGGAGCTCTATGTGGTCTCCAATGCGGCGATGAAGCAACAGGACATGCAAATCATGACCGCCGCTGTGGTGAATAAATCCAGGGATACCCACCGGGTGATACAATACTGATAATTATCATCTACATTGCAGTCCAACTTCAAGTCCCAAGGCAAAGATGTCTCCATTGAGTTCTTGAGCCCGGCTCATCAGTCTCTAATTGCAGTGCAAGGCCCGCAAGCAGCCCAGGAGCTATCCAAGCTGCTGCCACAGCCAAAAGCAAAAGCCCTGGAACAGCTCTACTTCATGCGCTCGGGCATCTTTGAGCTGGCGGGGATTAGCAATGTACGCATCACGCGCTGCGGCTACACGGGCGAGGATGGTGTCGAGATCTCAGTGCCTTCTACTCAGGTGGAAACTCTTACCGAGGCTCTGCTCGCTGCTGGCCAACTGAAGCTGGCTGGCCTGGGCGCACGCGATTCACTGCGCCTGGAGGGGGGTTTGTGCCTCTATGGCAGCGACATTGATGCACAGACCACACCTGTGGAGGCAGCACTTGCTTGGCTGGTGGCCAAACGGCGACGCAGCACATCTGACTTTCCTGGCGCTCAGACAATTCTTCAGCAGCTGAAGGAGGGTGCCCAGCGGCGTCGCGTTGGACTGCAAATGCTGGGCGCCAAGGCACCGCCCGCACGAGCAGGTGTCGCCATCTTCAGTGGTGGGAAGCAGGTGGGTCAATTGACCAGCGGTTGCCCCAGCCCCAGCACTGGCCGCAACATTGCCATGGGCTACGTGGCAGAGCAGCTTAAGAAGCCCGGCACCCAGGTGGAGCTAAAGGTGCGCGACAAATTCTACGAGGCGGAAATAACTCGAATGCCCTTTGTTAAGGCCAACTACTACAATAAGCCCAAGCAATAAAATATGTTTCTAAAGTTAAATGCTCAAGTGTAACTTCTGCTTTCTACTAACTATGCAATCGCATCTGAATACTTTTGAGTACATCCCTAAAGACTACTTTTGAGTACATTCCTAAAGACTGCTGACTGCCCTGATCTGCTATTTTGTACAAAATATTTTTAGTTTAGTCCATTAGGCCTGCTAATAGGATTCTGCTATAACACAATGTTGACCAATTTGTCAAACGTATTAATTGTGAGATTGGATTACTAAAATGTGTAACTGGCATGAAGTTTTCTTAATATTTTGAAAACAAAGTTGAGCAAATGATAATTTGAAGCTACTTTTGGAATAATCGATTTAAGTTAAAAAAATATATCTACAAGGTGTCAAACCGCCTTTAACGAAACCAATTTAAGTACTGAACTTGGTCAAAAACATGGCACATGACGTGATTAAAGCTGTGAACTGAACGTTTTTCGGTTTTTGCAGTCTTGATTATCTGAGATAAATACAATCGTTTCAATTCAAATCGCACCCTACTAATATTGACTTCCCATACCAAGTAATATGTCACTTATCTGATGTGGTAATTACCTTGACAAACTTCATTATGGCTCGCACCTGTGCGGCATCGAAGCGCACCTGGCGATGCAGTCGGGCCAGAGGCGCCATTGCCTGCATGAGCAGGATGTGTTGATTGAAACGCGGATGCAGCGAGCAAAGCACCAAAAATGCATTAAAAGCCTGAAGTAAACATGAATCAACAACATTTTGGGCTGTCCGATGGCCCACGCGGATATGCTCACCTGCGAGTGTCCAATTAGGAGTAGCTGATGTGCTTGCTGTGCCTGTGTCTCGCTCTGCTCCGCTTCCCGCTTTGTGTGCTCCACAATGTGGTCAATTATGGCGGGCAAATCGTAGGCGCCGTGCTCGTGAAAGCTATAGCGCCAAAACTCTGGCATGACATCGGTCAGCTCGAGGTGATGTCTGCCATAGGGCGAGGCGCCACGCAGATTCGCCAGCCACACATCGTAGTTGCGCTGATGCAGCTGAAAGGCTGCTCCAAACACACCCAATGCTACAAATGAGGCATACAATGAGCTACGATGCTTACCCAAACTCTTGCCGGGTCCCAGGCACAGCCAGCCCAGGGAGGAGCCCAGCAGTCCATGCACCAGCAGCACGGGTCGTGCACCAAGGCGCGGCAATCGCTGCAGCTGCAGCTGGTAGCCATCGGAGCTGGTCACATTGTGCAGCTCGTGGCTGTAGTTCAGCTGCTGCAGCCAGTCCAGCTGCAAACATTAGCGGACACGTCTCTTAGCCCAGTCTCAATTAATCTCCACACACACACACAAACGCGCCGCTTACCGTTGTCCATTTCTTACGCTCTCCCGACTGGGCCCAGGTTAGGCTAATGACAATGACCACGGACCCAACGATGCAGCGCGTCAACCTGCCAAATTCACACATTTTACTACCTCAACTGGGTTCTGTTTTTGCACTCGACCTTTGTCGTACGCGCTACCTAATTGCCCACCAGTTGATAATCTTTGCGCTTCACCAACCCGTGACACAGGCCAACAAAAACGACATAGGCTTTAGGACCTGTCACATTTAGGGAATTGATATTGAGGTGCAAGCAATATTTGTGCTCATTCTTTCAGCATGTAGCGGACATTCAATTATATTTTCCTGATGTATTATATTTTAGCCTTCATTTAAAAAAATATTTTTGTTTAAGAAACTTCACGTTTCTCGCTTTCTTGAATAAAGTGATTAAATGTAAAAAAAGGGTACAAATTAATTCATTTTTTTTTTAAGACTTTTATTGAAAATGTATGTAAACTAAAAATAAATGAATTTGCATTATACAAACTAGTTTAAGTAATTCATATTAATAAGCGTATTTTAATGGATATTATGCTCAATATACAAATATATAGTACAAAGTAGAGATTAATATATAGATCGAAAAGCAAATAACATCCCACAATTTAAATGCTAGTTTAATATTATAAAAATTTATATATAGTCCATTGTTGTTTGTTTTTCAAAAGTTGTCTGAGCTTCACTTAGGCGTACGCCTTGAGTTCCTTACACTATTTTAAATTCCCAATTCTAAATACCGACTCTACAGTGTAATTGTTTAATTTGCTATTCTGATTTTGTCTTACAAAACGGCAGCATTTAAACTGCTGACAACTCATTTTATTCCCCTCGAATGCTCACTTTGCTACTCTGCTGCTGGCACTTCATAAATTCTCGTATTTTTATACATTTTTTCCATGAATAAAAAAGAGTATATCAAGTAGTAGTAGGTATTTCCGTTTTTAGCCATGATAAGTCTAGCCTCGGCATATAAAAATAAATCTTAACTGATGAAAATTAAAACGCATAACCCTGTGCTTACCGCTGTCATACTAAAAACAGAGCATTGGTCAGTCGAGACAATTGTTTCCAGAAAATATTTAATTGTTCCTGTATACTATGCTCTCTAAAAACGGCCAAATAGGGTATTATGGTTTTGTGCAAATGTATGGAACAGGCAGAAGTAGAATCTTCAACCAAAGCCAAGTACGTTTGTGTGAACGCATCGATTCACATAACAAAAGCTATACATATATAATATGTATTCGACAAATACTACTTTCAAGGTTTGACTTTGGTTATTATACAGATTAGGATCGAACATCCTTGCCCCAAAAAATTTCATTAAGATGCGACAATAAACACCGAAGGTGTTTGACTAGGGTAAGAAAGAGCACAGCTGCAAGAAACATGTGTGCTAGAGTATAAGGATAGCCAGGGCTCAGGGTATCTCCAAGTCGGGTACGCCCGGCAACAGCATACTCACTCTTTTATTTAACATCTCGTGTGGCTGTAACCACAACGAAATTAATTTCAGATTTCGTTTGGCGCGACAAATGCAACAAGAGTAAATTGTTTAATTGCAGCTTTATTAAATTTGATAAAAATGCATATGCCAGCAGACAGAACACGCCCACCCGCATGCCCCACTACAAAGCGTAGTCAGTCACAGATGCAGAGAAAGGACTCGCACTCGGGGCTTCCGTTAATCGACTGCACTTTTGCATCCTGTTGCCTGCACAGGAGGCAGCTGCTCCTGCTCCGGCTCCGGCTCCGGCTCCGGCTGCATCTCCTGCTATCGCTCTTGCTCCTGTTCATACTTTTGTCCAGCATATGCCGCTACAAGGACCCTTTTGTATGGCGGCCAGTGCGACGGCGGGCATTGCGTGTCCTTTGTTGCCACAGCCAGGTCTGTTGCCCTTCCAACATATTTGCTCCCCCGCTTTCATCGTATTTTTGTATCCCATTTAATTTGGCGTTTGCTTTTGGCGCGTAGCAATTTCTTTGCATTTACTTTTTATACCCTTTAAATATATTGAAAAATAAATAAACTCTCATGTTTTGTTTTGAGCAATTTTTTTGGCAGTTAAGGTGAACAATTCGAAAGAGTCGACATAGTTTCGCTATGTCTGATTTTCGTTTTTAGATCGGCGGAGATATGTCGTTTCAAAACGACATATCTCCGCCGCTCTAAAACGAAAATCAGTCGTTTTTTTTCCTGAGAGTCGTTTTCTAACGATATTATCTCGTGCAGATCAACGGCGAATCACGGCATTTAAGGATTTCACTATGCTCCCTTCGTTTTTGCAAAATCTCGGTCGATCGGTCGTCGAAAACTCGGTTTTTGATTAAAAACCCTTTTTGTTTATCAAGATATCTTGCCCAAGCTCGGCGCTTACTATTTTCCCTGTGCTTCTTAGATACGGGCAAAGCACTATAAGCATTATGCAAAAGGTTGGGTCTGCAAGGGTATTAGATCTTCGGCGTGCCGAAGATAGCCTTTCTTTCTCGTTATCTTTCATTTTTTGGTTTTTCATAATTTTAATAAAGTTCACTGCGATTTTTTTTCTGTGCAGTCAATTGTTATCTCCCTGGCGATAAGCAAATATGCATTTGCAATTGGCGACTGCCTCTGAGTGCTTCGTGTTTGTGTTGATTTTCATATTTTCCCCCCGTTGCAGCAGAAGCCATTTTCCCATCCTTTTTTCATGAATGAATGTACTCGTATAACTCTGTGTACGATAGGCTCAACGACCAGGACTTTATTGTAAAACGTTTCCGTATACATAATATGGGCTGCAGTATAATTTAATCTATTTTATTTAAGCTTTATATATTAAGTTTTATTTAATTGCACTTCCGAGTACTTCCATCATATCGATTAAAGACTGAGCGGAAAAGTATTTTTATATGCAAGCTTTTAAATCGATTTAGCGTAATAAAACATAAGAATTTGATAAACTTAAAAAAGGTATGATATGATTTTGTTGTATCGGCAAAGAAAAGGTAAAATATTCTCGAAATGTTGTGTAGTTTAATATAATACATTTGTAAAAAAAAAGAAAAAAGTAAAATATCTTATTTATTGTATTTTAAGCTGGCTGTAAAGCTTCACCAAGCGCCTGTTCCATCCATTAACAGCTTTTGCTATCATCTCTAGTTTACCATACGTTCGAGGCTTAAGCTTATAGGGAATTGTAAAGCGAAATTATTGTTTACTTTAAAAATAATATATATATGATTTTGAAATGCAGACAATAACTGTACTTCAAAATATATTACAAGACATGTAAATCAAATATGTTTAAGCTGTTCGAAGTATTTTTGTCTCTGATATAATTAAATATACGGCTTGTTAGATTATTATTAGATTTTTTAGCATTTTTTAATTTCTTGAATTTTTTAATTTACAAAATTAACAAATATATAATTAGGAAGGCAGATGCTTTAAAGTTACTTCAACTGATTATCAATCTTTATAATCGCACTGCATGAACAAATAATGCGTTGGACAATTATCATTACATCATGCATGAATGTCATTTAGAAAAATTTAACATTATTTATCTATTTCTGATTACTGCACACGGTAATGACATTTGTAACGCCCCATAAAACATGAGCCAAATAAAAATGGCGAAAATGTAACTTTTTTGTTTGGCATTTGATTGACGCCGAAAACGTAATGTCAATAGCTCTACAAAGGTGAAACGAGTGCCAGCAACAACAAAACAACAATAATTTCGATGTTAAGCGCTTGATAGGAAAAACATTACGTCAAAGTAAATAAAATATAAGTAAACAAGTTCAGCGCAAAAAGAAAAGACACAAAACAGGAGCTTAAACCACATGAAATAAAAAATAATAACGAAAATTGTGCACAGGCAAAGTCAATCAGTGCCATTTGTTGTTGCTGTTGTTGTCATTGTTGTTAAAGCGCAGAAAACAGTCAAAAATAATAAAAGGTAGACGAATACCTTCACAAGTATCAAGTGAAAAGAAAAGAAATGAGAGACAGAGACACTTTGTGTTATTAAATAAGAGACAGCGCGACAGAGAGAAATCAAAATGTTCCAAGCTGCCGTCCGTCTCTCGGAGTTGTCACTGCTGACAATGGCGATGACGACGTTTCCGTTTCCCTTTCCGCAGCCGGGTGACAAAAATAACAAGTGTGATTACAATGGATGGCTGTACTTCTACGGGGAATACCCTGTTTCAATATCTGTATAAAGGAAAGACAATCAAAATCCACATTTCAAATAACCGCATACTTGACATATTCTGACTTGATCAATGATAATCTCTGAAATGGAAACTGTTTTCCAGAAAAGTGCAAGAAAAAAATTAGCATTTGAATTTAATGTATTTTAGATTATTATCGACAGACATTATATTCCAATAAAGAATATTTCAAATTATCAAGTACATATAGCCCTTATATTTATAATAGCATTTCGGGAATTCTGAACATTTCTAAAACATACAAACAGCCCAATACACGGATAAAGTCAAGGGAGCTCGCGTGATCAAGAATATAATCGTATAAGGTCACAGATCCCACAATTCAGCTGCAGGGTGTACAAAGGAAAACTTGACTGACAAAAATGCAAACAAACCGTGCGCCAAATGCACGGAATCAATGTAATTGAAGAACTGACTGAGTGAATGAATGAATCGCAGCGTTTATTGTGGCCACACAGCGACCCCACAGCAAAACACAGACAAAGACAACAATCCCCCTTTAGTCCCCACTTACGCTCGATAGGTAGGCATGCAAAGCTCACGCTTTGTTTGTCTTTCAACTCAATTGCACGGCAAGTCGACAACTTGTTGGGGTGCTTGCTTTTTTACGGCATTGGAGTTGGTTGGAATGGGTGGCAGTTGGTTTTCCGCCTATATGATTTTTTATTATTTCCTATGGTTTGATGTGATTGCTTTTGAAATGTTTGCGTGCCATTTGTTGACAGTAAATGCCGCTTAATGATTTCATTTTGGAGCAAATACCAAACTCAGCTAGAAATTGAGGGTCTGTTATTTTGTTTGGCTGTCTCAAATCAAATGTATTAGAACGTCATATTGAAAGGTCTCGAAATATCTAATTA